GGGGGTGGGGGGGAGGGCAGCAGAAATCCCTCTGAAGAAAGTCGAGGGGGAGCACACAGTATGTGTACCGTGGTGTGACTGTGTATGTACTCCATAATGGCTATCAGGTGGCATATCACATAAGGAGTCAGCAGCTTATGTGTGCAATAAGGTAAACTAGAGTGCCACAACTGTGTGCACATTTAACCATTGCCTAGCCTGTTTTAAGCTGCTTATATCTCTTAATTGCTAGCATATGCAAGTGAGCTGCATCTGTATTTGGTATTACTCTCCTGTCAGAATAGTAGATGTTTTAAGTATCTTATGATTATTGAAGATATTATATACCAAGAGTAATTCTTTACTAATACATTGTTACCAGTACAAAAAAGTATTTGTTCTCTTGTTGAAAACACCCTATAGTCACTCTCCAATTCATCTCAATTTAGGATAACATTGGAAAACAGTTTGCACAAAGGTTTCCAATATATTATGTAGTATGTCATCCCAGAGTTATTTCTATAGATGTGTATTCCTAAACTTGCAAGCATTATAGGATTCATTCACCTTCTATAGTCATTGATACTAATGCATAAAATGAATATTTATTTATTCTTAAAAGTTATTTACCATCTATCTAATAATCTGATTTTTGTTTTTTACCAGCAGAATCTTAGCTTTTGTAATCCAGGCATATTCATTTCACACACAAGAAATAGTATTTGCATTTTAGGAGTGTTTTACCTGTAATTGCTATGTTCATCAGATGCAGTAGATGTATACTCTTGGGTTACGTGATAGGGTGGTTCCTGACCTGATGGAATCTAATCATATTCTGTAGTAAAAGAACTCTGTGTATTTGGCAATTTGATCTATCACAATTTGAATATCCAAATTGTGACAGAAATATAGGTACTCTTTGATTTCTCTTCTAGATTTTATGTCTTTTCTTTGATTATACAAGCACTTTGAAACCAGAAAGTCTTATAGCTATGAAGTCTACCAATGTGTGAAAGTTAATTGAGAAGGCTTGTTTTGTTTTTCCTTGTTAAAACATTAAGTGTAAAATGAAACGTGGAAAACAGTGGGTCAGGTTCTAGGAATGGGTTTCCAGTGTTGATTATGCAACTTAGATTGTTCCATTAAACAGCTTCTTAGACATTTGTACTGAAATACCCTATAGCTATTAAAATGTTTTAATAAGAGAGTCATAAGTTTAAGTGAAAGTTAAGTCTTAAAACTTTATTGGCAATAGCTTGCCTGTTTGTATATTGCATCTCAGTAAGATGTGTTTTCTAAATTTCAGGTTTTATAGTGGACTTTCAATACATTTGGGCTAATAGTGTCCAATTTCTAAATTATTGTCCTTGCTCTTAAGAATTCTGCAAAGATCACTTCTGTCATAAAATTGAGATTAAGAAGAAAAAAAATATTTAAAGTGTTACAAGAACAGAAGAACATGCAGACTTCTCTGATCTTACAGGGAAGTTCAGGTTTTCTTCTAAATGGCCAAGACTACAATGCAGAGTGTTCAGTGATGTCAAAAACAGGGTGCTACTAGGTTTTACAAAGTCTTACCAAGCACCACAGAGAATAATCTGAAGCTAGTATGTCTTTGCTTTTCCCTTCATCTGTTTGGAGACTTATTTTAGTTTGGATATTGTTATGTAGTCTACCACAATAGTTAATTTTAAAAGAAAAAAGTAATTTTCAAAAATTGTTTCAAAATAATATTATAAGTACTTTCATGCATACCAAAGCTAAAGTAGCCTGGTTTTACTCCATTTGTCCCTAGTAATTTCTGGGGGGAAGGGGTGAGAGAGAGTAGGTTTAACTGAATTGATCACATGGACTCTCCACTTGTCATCAGAGAATTAATTCTTGGAGAAGTTGTGAAGAAGAGTGCATTTTTTCCTGTCTGATAACATGCATGAGTTGGGGGTTGGGTCCCTCTTTCCATATTCTTAAGGTATTTGTTACTGTTCTTTTCTGTTTGGAAACCAAGGAACACTCACCTGGTTGTGTACTCTGGTATCTAGTAAGGTTTGAATTCTGTAGGGGGAGAACAACAGGAGAAATACTAGCCTGTTTGTACCAGTGACTGCTCTTGTACTTCTAGAGAAATGAGGCAGGGAGAAGAGAGAACCTATATATATGACATTTGCTCCTCCTGGTAAACCTAGAGCTTTAATTCTACCCTTGTAGAAGGCAAGTAGTAGTGCTCTCTTGCAATTCTTCAAACACCAAAATGTGATTAGTGGACCAAAATCTGACTTTTGAACAGTTCTGGTGAAACCTAATGCTTTCATACTATGACAAACTGAAAATAGATTCAGTGAGCTTTTTCCTGCTTTCCTCCTAGATAGCAGATGGACTGGTCATATTTCTTTCTCACAGTTACTTTAGGTGTATATTTTGGTAGTAATAGCTCTTATTAGACTTCTGTAATGCCAATAAGGTAAAAAAGCTGTTGAGTTCTTAAAGTTTGTAATTTTATCAGAGCAAATGACTGGGTAATAGTGAACTACTGCAGCATGTTCAGTCACTTGCTTGCAGGAAACTTTTCCCCTAATTTAAAAATACAAACTAGACTTCTCAGCCCTCCCTGAAACTTGAAGGGCTTGTGCTCTTGTAATCTAAGCATATCACACTACTGCTTCAGCTACTGTATTATTCTTGACATCTGTGATACTTGTGTTTTTTCAGGAGCTCTGTTCAGTGTTTCTTTCCTTCTTCCTTTTGTATTAATATCTTTTTTTCTGTTTCCATCCTGGTGTCTTTATTATGAACTCTGTGGACAGACAACTAGCACTGTTTGGTTCAAAACATGTGTACATGTCTGAGTAGAGACAGCTCTGAAGTACCATAACTTCTGTGAAATAAAAACTGCAGTGTTGGGAAAACATTCATATAATACAAATTTCCCCCTACTTCCGGTTTCTGACTCCCTAACCGTGTAAGATGGAAACTCATCTTTCCCTGAAGTTCTCTGAGCTACCTTCTAAGGATCTTTTGACTATAAGAAAGAACTTAGGCTTTAAACTGAAGCTAATTAATATCATTATTAACATTAATTGACATGAATAAAATCAGTATTTTTATCTGAAATACACCCTCCACTGAAATCTCTTGCACAGGATGCATTGTTCTTAAATGTAAAACCTTTGTGGTGAGGGAGACTATAAAGGAAATATAAAGGAGACTTCTTTCACAGACTAACAGAATCTTTTACAAATGAATGTAAAAGCAGAATGACATTGTTGTGCTGCAGGGGTTGAAAACATGAAGTTGGTGCCATTAGTTAGCAATCATTGCTGTAGACAGACTGTTACAGCTTAAAAAGAAATGGGCCCCTCTTCTTTTTAAATTAAGTAAATACGTATATCCATTAAGTAAATCTCTCAATCTGTTCCAATATTAGTAATCACTGGTTTGACCTCAACAATGAAGAATCCAATAATTGAGTTAGAAACAGTTGTTCTGGTAACAGAGAATAAATGGGATGGTATTCCTGTAGAAATTGTGGTCTGTTTTGATGGTGGAAAGGATGCATTGCTTTCAGAGATTAAGAAGGGGAGAATATGGAAATTCAGTCAAATGCAAGGACATTAATTTTGAGAAATATGTAATTTGGGCACTTTTGCTAAATGAAACAGCAATGTTGACACTGCTGCAGTATTAAGATTTAATATTTGAAGATAAGTGGCATTTATTCCTCTTTTTGGGTGCTGGTTATACTGATCCATTCTATCGGTGTCACCATGATGAGTGGAGCAGCAACACTAGAGACTGAGACTGAAATACAACTCCATGTCAGAGAATTGATCAATTGAAGGCAAATCAGTTTGTGTAGAGGATTTTGGTCCAAAATTAGACCACTTGTTCAAAGCAGTGAAATGGGTGGTAGTTGAAAACCAGAGGTGATTGTGGACCCTCTTTTCATTGTGTCATGTCAAAGAGCTTTCAGACTGTTTTACTTGAGTCAAATTTTTGTTATTCTTTTTTAGTCCTTATCTTTTCTGTGTGCCTTGTTCACACTTGGAAGACATGCAAGAAAATCTACCTACCATGTTGACGCCTTACAGAATACTGATTCCCATTAACATGAGATATAACTTTAGACATAAAGCAAATAGTAAATATTCTGGGAGTGAACACCACTTACCTATAGTCTCATGTATTCAAGGTCAATAATTGAATAAAGCTTTCAGATCAGGATCTAACCTATGTCTTGGTTAAGAAAATATTTATTAGAATACTTTACACACATTTAACTGTTGAATATAGACCTAAAAGGTAGCCATGTAGGTGCTGGTTGTGAGTAGTGGGGAAATGGCCAGAAAAATTGTGTGACTTTGTTTACAAAACCTATTTGTGTGCATGAAATATGCCACTCCAAACTGGATAATTTTTTTTTTTTTGGTAAATAATGCACTTGCTTAATATGTATACCAAGTTAGGTTTCTTTTAGGACCAGTTTTATTGGAAAAATACAAATTGAAATGCAACAAGATATGGTTGTATTCTAATTTCTTATTTAAGCCAGTGCAGCTGATAGTCTTCAGTGATAGCAGAATGAGCCTTGGCTTAGGTTGTTAAATTAACTATATGTTGGTCTCATAGTAACAGGTTCAGCTTGTTGAATTGGATATTTTTGTAAATTAGTAGTTTGATACTGACAGTTAAGAATCAAAAAACATTTGTGTCGGAAAATCTTCCATTAAGCTGTGGTGGAGAAATGTTTCCTTTGTTAGCTGCTGTGATAGTATTTTGACTCATCTGAAACTGGACAGAGAGCTAGTACAGATGTGTATTTTTCATCTTAATATGATGTTGAGTCTGTCTTTAAAATCTCTCAGTTGCAGAAATATGATTTTTTTTTTTTTTAAAGGAGGGAAATGTCACAAAATGGAAATCCCAGTTTCTGTTGACTTTTGTTGATTTCTGAGTCTTTTACTTTGTATGTCTTTTCTGACCTATAAGTGTCATAGGAGTTGGTCATGAAGGAGTACAGTGTACATTCTTAGAAATTTAGGGGCTGGGGGAAGCTTACATGTGGTTAATGACTTTTCAGGCTCAAGGCTTATCTTTTTTCGTCTCTCACCATCCCTTTTAGGTAATATACTTGAAGAAAACCCCAGAAGAAGCTTACAGAACGCTTTTGTTGGGATCTAATCCACCATATCTTCCATTTAGGTATGTGAACATGAGAAATGGGCCTAACTTTGGTTTTTTTGGTTGGAACTTGCTAAATATAAATTTTTCAGATTGACTTCCCAGAAAAAGGTTTCATGTCTGATACAGACATTGTATCAAAATGACTGATCTCCAGGAAAAAATATTTTTTAATTCTGTTGGAATAACAAAGCCATTTAGATTGATTTAAGTAAGACTTGCAGTCTTGCAAATTGTCAGGTTTTGAAAATAGTTCTTAAAATGTTTCTGATTTAGCAATTAAACTTTTCTTTACCATGTATCATGTTTTGCAATTTGGAAGTCATTCAGATCTTTTAAATTACCTAGTACCTAACTAGACTTAAATGAATGAAGGGGGGTTTGTGCTGTTATATTTTCTCTATTCTACAGAACAAGTACTTATGTTCAAGTAATTAAATTGCTTTGCCTTTCTGTTTTCAATGAATCATAGATAATTTCTATCAATCTGTCTTTATTCTCCATACTAAGGTCATATTGAGACTTCAGTCTGAGGAGTTTTAGCTATCATGACTATCTATTAAAGACTTCCAATTTTTTTTCATAGTGTGAGAAATGAAATGCCCTTGTGCTTCATGAATACCTCACACTATTCCTATGCAAACACTGGTAATAAAAGGCAACTTCAAGAAGATCAATATCCTCTTTTTTAGGGGAGTCAGCATTTTAGAAATAGTGTTCACAGTCAGCCAGTTCATTTGTAAATGTAGACCTACCTTGTCTATATCAAATTCACCTGATTCTACAGCCACTCAGCAAAGGAAGATCATATTGTCTCTTTTCTCATAGCTTGTGCAGGAGCCAGATACAGTATAAACTGTTGGGTTGGTAGATTTGGATGTAAAGACCAGTTTGACTATGATATCTTAAACCATTGAACACATCATTCTAAAAAAGATATCAAATCAATGATAGCTTTTATTGGCAGAGAGTTTATACATTGACCTGGTCATGGATAGCTCTCCAAAGCCCAAGAAGTTCACTGAGCTATTGATAACCATATTTTTTTTTCCAGCTAATTATAAAAGATACTTGGTACAATGCATTAAAAGATGTTATTTTAAATATCAGTGTTTTTAACATCTCCAAATTCTATATAAAATAGAGGAGTGATGATCTAAATTGAAGAATAATGTGTAGTTTTCTCCACCTTTTAAATTCTTTGGTTCCTGACCTTCTCCCAGTTTGAAATAATTACGTTGGTCCTTTCCATTTACAGAAGGTTCAGCTGTTGGAGAATTGCTGCAAGAAGTTATTTGAAGCAAACTGTATTATTCTGAGCACAGAAACTGACAATACATTCTTCTGTCTCCTTATCATTTTGGAGAAGCAACAAGGGAAATATTTCCCTGCAATTTTCCCTTCCTTACAGGCATTACTATGTAGCATTTTAGTGGATTCTAAAAAAACCTGACTCTTCCTTTCATATCACATTCTCAGTGGTTCAACTTTAGTAGGAGTATTTCTTTCATATAAGAGCTTTTAATACTAAAGTGACAAAACTTTCAGAATCTTAAGCTTAGTTTATTCAAAACTTGCTTAAAAGGCAAAACTCTTAGTAGTGAAGGATGTACATTACCTGAGAATAGTTGTATCTTGTTCACCAATTAAAGAAATTTACTGTTTGGAATTATGGTAAATTGCTATGTCTCTAGGTTCCTTTCTTCACCACCAAAGTCAAGATTAAGTTCTGTAAGAAAGAGGTTCTGACAAAGTAAAGAACCTTAGTTGTTAGACCCCAAAACTGTAAGACAGAAAGCTTGGGAGGAATAGTGTTCTTGCAGAACAGTCTCATATGACCCTCTTTGCTCAAACCAAAGGCTATACAGACCTTCACCTTGTAACCAATTCCTTATAATAATAATGATGATGATAATATTAGTGATAATAATAAAAAAATGCTGGTTCTGCTTGACACGTAGGGAGTAGTGAAAGTAATTTGCTCTGTGATTTCTTGTGAGGCTGATAAAAACCACAGTAACAAATTTAATGACATGAAACTATTAAGTGTTAAATAGTTATTCAAAGCAAGTCATTGTAGTTCATATTCATAAAATTCTATTCTGAAATAGAACAGTTAGCTACTCTGAGATCAGCAAAGGAGGGGTCAAAAAATACAAGAAGCAATAAGACTTTCTGAAGACAACTTTGTATTATATGCAGAGGGCATTTCATGTTTCCCAGGAGAGAGAATACTAACTGAAAACATTGAAGAAGGCCATGTCCAGCAAAGGGACTACTCAGTTTTTGCAGTGTGGATTGTGAAAATGATTACAAAAGTAATAATAACTTCATTCTGTTGGTCAGCTTCAGGAGAAAAGGGCAATTAATGTATAGAGTAGGCAGACTTCTGACATGTAACTCCTCTGCAGTCTTTGTCCATGTGTTTCAAACCCTGGGTTGCTAGGAGAAAAATGATTGGCTGAAAACAAAAGCTTTTTGGGAGGTTGTGGGATTTTTGTGGTGGGTTTCCTGTAGTGTGGATGTGTTTTGGTATGCTCTGAGATTTTTTTCTTGTTTGTTTGTTTGTTTGTTTGTTTTTAACACAAAACTTTAGCTATTTTAGAGGATGGGAGGGAGCCAATCTTGAGGAGAGCCTTGCTGTTCCTAGAAGGAATAGAGTGTTATGAGTAAGAAGAGTTAGTGTTATTTTGCTAGAAGAATGAAACAAACATCTTGATTTCTTCAGCATTCTTTCTGATATGACAATGGGGCTGGAAATCACTTAAGTTTTTCCTTTTGGAGCTGCTTTGGACTATGTCAGGTCTTGGGACTGGATTAGAGCCTAAGCAGATTCTATATACACTACACCTGTGGTATAGTTTGTCCTGCCTGGAGAGAAGGCTGTGTAATCAATTTCCTTACTTCTCTTTGTCTTACCTCCCATAGAGATAAACTGAAGGATTCTGACAAGATAGGAATGTAAGAAATGGGGAGTCTAATAGGGAGGGGATATTTGGGAGCTGAATTCATAGGAAGAGGCTGGAATAGATACATAAGGAATTTAAGAATTACTGGGGCTGAGAGAAGGGCAGGTAGATCGATGAGGGCCTGCAATGACACAATCTAGATTAACTAGGAATGGGGAAGAAATCATTGATACCTCCTTCCCTGGTTTTCCAAGGCCTTTGAGATTATTTTCTCTTCCTGTCCATTCTACGACATTTGAGACATCTCTGGTGCAAAATATAGCATGGTACAGAGAGGCTCAAGCAAATGAATCTGTGCTGGAATTAGTAGCACTGCCTTAGGTAGTATATCTGCTTGGCATCAGGCTATACTGTGAAAAAGCAAATTGGTGCTATAAGAAAGTTTGCGCTCCTTCCACATCTTTAGTGTCTTGGACTAAAATGACTCTTATGTACATTGAAAAACATAACCCAAATGTTACCTCTTCTTACCTCTTCTCTCCTGTTCTAAGGTCTAGGAAGGAAATAATTTGAGGTATTAATCATTGATGTTCAGTACTTATTGACTTGAATTTATTCTCGGAGCCTGGAATTTAGATATTATATGACTTCTGTAGTATAGGTCTCCCTTAATAGTTTCAAGTTCAGGAGTTTATCAGTGAGCAGTGATCTGTCAGATGTTACAGGTAGACTATTTAACAAGTTCACTGATTTGATATCTGAAGTGTCTTCTATTTAGCAAAAAAAATAGACAACTTTCAATTGCTGGTAGAGGTAGAAGCTGCAGGATTATCAGATTCTTTATGAAGTACTGAGTTATGTTTACATGAACTGATCACTGGGAAACTGATCTGCTTTCATCTAGCTCAGTGACCTCAAAAAGCCATAATCGGCTTAGATCTTCAGCTGGTATTTCATTTAAAGACAGCTTCAGCAAATACGGTTCAGGGGTAGAAGGAAATCAGAATACCCATATTACAAGATGCATGGAAATTTTGGGGGTTTGTTTTTAGAACAGAAAAACTAAAGAAAGCAGGAGGGTAAGGAACTAATGTCTTTGAGACACTTTAATTTCATTTTTGGCTGATTCCCTGTCACTTGGTGATGCTCTAGTCTCTTGAAGATCTTGTACTGTGTCTTCTCACTTCCATTTAAGAAAATGGTGCTAACACCATTTTAAATCATCACAAATACCAGTTTCCTATTGTGAAACTAAGTTTTAGATCTTTATCTCACACTATTCTGTATTGACTTTATATTAAAGAGAAAAAAACATTTATTTTAGTATTATTGTGTTCAGTCTCTAGATGTGACATGAATTTCAGAGCCGGATTAGTAGCTTTTGGGTTTTGTTTCTTTACTGGTAAGTGCTGGGGAAAGAAGCTATTTTTTTATTGATAGTGTTTAGAGGTTTGCTGAAAGGGAAAGCGTTATGCAGTATTGAGGTCAGTGACAGTAACTGTGAAATCGGATGTGGGATTTGCAGCTCTGTAATGCTGGCTCAAATTCATACTACATCTGTATCTCAAAAATATTCACATTTTTTTTCTAATTTTGAAAGCAAATAGCGTACTATCAGGTAATAGTTGGTAAAACACTGTTTGAAAATCAAGGCGGTTATGCAATTGGCCATGAAAGACTAGAAGAATACTGTAGTGAAACATGTGATCAGCAACAGAACTCAGAGCAGCCACACTGTAAAACTGTGCAGGAGATGTCTGTATGTGCCCTATTCTATTATTCTGATATGAAATGAGGTCTTCCTTTCTCTTCTATGCTTTTTCAAACATAGAGTTCTGAGTTGAACAAAAAGCATGGTTTCCACCAGTAAAAATCACTTAAATGTTTTTGTATACACATAAGTAGTCCCAGTAAGTTAAAAATTACTACTGTCTTAAACATAAGCACATACATTAGTTTTCTGTAGGATAGGATGCTGACTGTGTACAGTGGACAAAGGAGATGAATATTTTTAAGTAGGAAGCATGTCTGGAATTAAAATTATGTTTCTTCAAGGTTAGCAAAGGTATCTTTTCTTTACTGTGCTCTTCCTCATAACTTAGTGCTTGCATTTGTTTTAACTGTGGTACAAAGTGTGGCCCATTCAGAATCTATTGCATTTTATACAAGGTTAAATTAGTATTTTTAATTATTGCTCTAAAACTTTTGCAATACATCTGTCATTAGTAGAAAGAAAATGCATGCTCATAGATCTAGTGATATATAGATTTCTCCAGTCAGTGAGGTATGAAAATAGCTGTATTTCTAATGGGATTTTTGTAAAGGTTAGTACTAGTTCTGACAGCATCCAATGTTCTTATCCATGATCTGGAAATTCATTCAAAATCAATAGGAAGATGGCTTAATCTGAAGAACGATGAAATCAAACTAGCTGTTATGCATTAATTTTAAATTACTTCATTTTCTCCAGTAAATGCATTCATTCAGGAGGATTCAGAAAATAAGATCAAATTTGTTTTTTAAATATTTCCAAAAATGTTGTTGATTTGACATGACTTCTGACTGATTTCTCTGGGATAGAAAAAGAACTTGATAACGGCCTCAGCGTGACTTGGGGCGAGATTTGCTTTGGTTTTGCCTTTAACAAAGAGAAAATCTAAATAATTAGTGACTTGAAATACCCTATACAACTCCCTCTAAACAAAAAGATTTATTTGAAACATTCAGGAAATCTGGTCACAATAAACTAATAATCTTTGCCTTTTGAGTGTTTCAAGGTCTTTCTAGGCATGTAGTTGGCAGTAAGATCAGCATTTAGGATCTGTCCTCTCTAATACTTCTGCAAAATGCTTTTTGACTAAACTCTAAAGGAATACTAACACTTCTCTGGAATAATATGAAATCATCTATTTGATAGTAAGATTAACTATAAAAAATGTCACTTCACGAGCACGGAGTGATTTTGCTTCATAAAAAAACGACTTTCAAAAATATTGTTTTAATATTTTAAGAGTTCTGTAAAGTGCATTTTGTTGCTTGCTGTGTGTTCTGAAACCAGTAACTTGGGATTTATCTCCTAATACTGAGTCCACAGCACTTGCCTCACCTGTAGTTCAGATATATCACTCTACTATATCAGTGGATCCAGCATGCAGAGTCTTCATGGATTATACATAAAACTTCTGCCAGATTAATTTCTTTGTTCTTATACCTAAAATTTAATGCTTTTAGATAGTTTAGCTTAAAATTCTGGAGCATAAACCAGTAAAGTTTCAGAAAGAGGATTGCATCTGGAATTGATTCTAATGAGCCAGTTATGCTTTTGAAAGCTAGAAAAGAAAAAGTACATATACTTCTGCATTTACCTTGAAAAGGATTGGGAGTGCTAAAATAAAAATGTCTATGGATTTAAGGAAAAAAATTGCATAGATTTTGTTACATTTTCTTGTTTTCCAAATTACGATAGAAGGAACTTTTATGATTTGCGTGTGTTTTCTTACCAGAAGATACTTGAGGGGCAGAGGGAGAGAAAGAGAGAGATTATGGCAAGGTCTGAGATAATGTGCTCAGCATTTGCCACGGTTCATCAGACATTGTGCTTTCCCTTAAAGCATTAGGTAATATTAAGCCACCAATTCCAGGTGTTATTTCACTACCATGCTGCACTGTCATTCATATCTACTGTTTGTTTATGGTTTCATATGGTTACGTTATCGCATTCTGCCACAAAAGGTAGATGGGTGTGCGAGATTTTCAGATGATAACTCAGTGTGTTACATTTCTTTAAAAAAAATGTTAGAATACTGCTATTCTTTGACACTCCGGGAATTTGGAATTAGGTTTAAACAGCTTTTTATTTGTTCATTCTAAAACTTTGCCTGCTTGGAATTTTCCTAGCTTTCAGTCTCTCTGTTATTTCACTGTGTGTGGATGACAAGTGTCAGCAGAGCTACTTTCTTTAATGGTTAGGTGCACAGCAACAGAAATGAGATGTTTGAGGCATGGATGATGTAGGCAATATATGTTAGTTGGCAGCATCCTTGTGTACTCCACTGGTATTAGCTGTCTGTGGGAACTGGAGCTAAGAATACTGTACACCTTGGAATTGTGATAGGCTTATCTTGTACATCTGACTTGACATAGGTCAAGTTCAATGTCGTCCTGCCTTCTTTCCTCTACCTTCTCTCTCTTGCTCTCATAACACTTATTAATGGATTAGAGATTATGTGACTTTTTTTTCCAAGTATTTTATGTACTGCAGTATCAGGTGCCTTAGGACTTGAAATAGTTACGTAAATAAAATAAAAATTGATTCTTGTTATAGCAAAATAACATGTAATATAGAACACATCTGCTACAATCATATCTTCCATTCATATTTCTCTAAATACTTGACTTTGTGGTTTGCATTTTGTGTTTTAGGTCTTGTTTTTTCTGTCAACTCCTTCAGAAAACTGTTACAGCTTTTAAAGATTTTCTGCTATGTATGTGTTCTCATTGGAGCCTTAAGATTTTTTTGCTCAGAAGACCTTTTTGTTTGCTAAAATAATTTTGTGCTTAAATGATCTGTTACTCAACTTTCCCCTGTCAAAAATATATTGTCTGTGAAGTTTATATTTTACATCTTTGGTATGTTCTGCTTATCTAATGTAATGAAAATACTTTATGGCTATTCATTTTGAAAAAAATATTTGTTGGATTTGGATATTGAATTTCACATTGTAAAAATTGTGGCTAAGTATTTTTTAGTAATCTAATAACTTGAAAGCTTTTCTAGAGTAGCCTGCCTACAATATGACACTACCAGAATTGTAGCTATTAATTTTCTTAAATACATTTTCTATGAACACTGCTTGCTGGAAACTGCTGTACTTATTCTCCTCTTAAAGAATGGGTGGGAATAGTCTATTCTTAAAGTAATTGGGATTGAAGGACCATATCAATACAGAAAATTTCATACTACTTACAGCTAAGTAGACTATGAAAAAAGGAGAGTTTTCAATGAAAGATTGAAATTTTTGATCAATTATAGATTAAAGATGTATATAGTTGAAATCTAAAATATTGCTATTCTGATAAATTGCGATTCTTAGCACTCTGGATAAAATATCTTAGAGCAAAAATATAAAATATTTCTGTAATGAGTGATTAGGAAATAATCTGCCCAGGCAGAATTTTGTTAAAATGCAAACTGGTCTGAAACACACTTTGAAAAGGACTTTTTCTTTTTTCTACAATGCATTTGTTGTTGTTGGTTTTTTGGTGGTGGCGTTTGCTTTTATGTTGGTGTCTCTTACCACTTGAATATGTTTTGCTTTGGGGTATTCTGTCATCTTTTAAAGAGAAATTTTTTATTTTCATAGTGGCAGAACTGAAGTTAAATAATTTTAAATTTAATTATATCTGGATAACTTTTAATCACATCTGTAATCAGGCATCAAAATGAGATCCTGTAAATGAAGTACAAACTAGTAGTCTATTTGCCTTTCCCTGTTAGTGTAACTCAATTAAGACTTGGAATAATGATTAAAGTAAGTTTTGCTTTGTTTGATACTATCATTACACAATTGAGAGAGGATGCAAAACTTCCTGTTCCAGGACAGCATTTGGTAAAGAATATGTAGTGAGCTGATGTGACATATGCATTTAAAATAATTTGCAGTACCTAACTGCATTTACACTGAACTACATCTTTGGTAGGGGAGTGCTTTAGCATAAATAAGCTTCTAAGAAGATGTCTTCTTTGTACTTTAATTCAGAGTTCTCAGAGAGGATTGAATAACCTGAATATAGTATGTTGTGTGTTGCCTTTCCATGAGTTCTTAACATAATTCTGTGTATATTAAATTCATTTGTATTAAATCTTTAGGGATGCTTCATTTGGGAACTGCACGTACAATCTTACAATCTTGGACTGTTTACAGGGAGTAAATAAGGTAATAACACTTTTCCTTAGCAAAACAGATTTAAATTAACTTTTAAAACATGAAGGAAAATACTGTGAAAATACAATAGAAAATCTGGTTTCAAAGCAGAATGTGTGTGAATGAGTAGTATGCTGTCGTGAAGCCTAAGTTACTGAGGACTGTGCTAGAGTAGTGACAGTGGAAGAATGTTACGCTTTTCCCTGGCTGGCCTGGGCTTTGACAGCTTTCTGAACTTCATCTTCCGAATTGGAATGTGCAAACACACCAGGCCTGGCTGGGGGTAGTTCTTAACAGTGCAAGGCAGTGCACTAGATCTGCTAATAGATCATTTATAACCGTTGGTAAAAGGGAATAACATAGGTTGATGAAGTCAAGCGAGACAGACACCTAGGTATACTGTGATTTAATCTGAGCAGTTTTTGCATGTACTTGGTTGGCCCCAACTTTCCCTCAAAATGCTCTGTTCAGTGTTTGAACTAATCTTTTCAGAATTGTTTAAGAATGAAAACTACTGTATCTAGTGTTTTGATGTGTCGCTTTCAACAGTCCTGGTCCTGGGGAATATTAGGCTCCAATATTGCTTTTTAAAAAATATTATATCACATCTCAATTGGCAACTGTGTGTTATAGTATATACTTCATACTGTAAGCAAAGATGAAATTTCGTTTACCACTTCCTAGTGATATTGATGAAAGGAGCAGGCTATATGAACAGTTCTATACAGACACTGTATGGACTATTTGTAATTCTTAAAAGTATGGCAAAGCAAGTGTTTCTTTAAAATTTTAAAAAGAGAGATCAAGCTTAATATTTTTAGTTCTGTGTGGGTGGGAAAAGAGCTGTCAGTTAACAGCAAGACTCCAATTTGTGTGGCATTTTACGGATCCTGAAGCTCTGTGAAGCAGTCAGTGCAATCACTGTAATTTATCTGCAACAAACACGTCAAAAGGACTTTGAGAATCTGTCTTTCCTCCTTTGTTCCCATGAAATTTATTGTTGATTTTTTTGTCCAGTTCATCTACAGAGGTAAAAACACTTTGAGCAGAAACCGTATGCCTTAATCTAAAGTAAAATCTTAGTCTACTTGGGTAAATTTCGTGTTTGTGTGCACATATATCATATACGTGAAATTCAGGGAGCATACAAATTCTGGAGTGCAGCCAGTCAACCATGCTTAACTTAAATACGTTTTTCAAAATCAGACAAACCTATCGATATCGTAGGTTAAATCACAGGTCCAATCATTGAGCCTATGTGGTCTATAACAAAGCTATTTTTGTTTTGTCTTAAAAAAGGTGCTCTATATGTAGCAAATAATGGCAGACTGATGATTATCGGGTTTTGAATCATAGATATGTGGTGTGCTTTTTATCACACCTTAATTGTAGAATGTTGTATAATATCTATACTTCCCAGAATGCAGCAGATTCAGTATAAATATATGCTCCAGAACTCTTCCACCTATTCCTTGGAAGGAATTTGGGCTACGAATTAACTTATTCATAGAATTGTTTTTAATATGCTATTATACACAAATCTTTAGTACAAAATTGGCATATTTAATAATATTACAGTAATCACATACAAAACATGACTTCTTTCAGTGCTGTAATAAATACTGTCTAATGTGGTCTAGTGAACTTCATTCTGTCAGTGAAATGTTTATTAAAGAAAATCATAAAATACAAGTTATACACAGTACTGTATTCTGTATATGCCATTTTGCCTGGGTATTATGGTGATAAAATCAGAGTATCGTATTAAGTATAGAAACATCAATAAACTCTTAATGTTCTAAATTTCATTCTGCCCAACTGCATAAAAACATATTCATCATAGAAATCATTGAAGCAATGTATGACAAAAAGGGAATTGGTTTTTAATTTGTCATCTGCCTCACAGAAGAAAACATACATAATGGGGTGGGAAGAATCAATTTAATGATTTAAGTGATATGCAACAACCTTATGTCTCGTTGTGATGTCTTTGAAGAAGAAATAATGAGCCTGACATGCTTTAGTGATGTTGGAGTTTTTGTTGTCTGTGTTGTTAATCTGTGTAAAATGTAATGTTGTCTTAACATAGAGGCTTCAACCAGCCAAAAGCACAAACATTTAGTGATTTAGTTTCAATTCTCAAAAACAGTATTATAAAATGAGATTATATATCATATAAACTGACACCTTGTTACCTTTTAGGCTTTGCAGCATGGATTTTTTGACTTTAAGACATTTGATGTGGATGAATATGAACACTATGAGGTTTGTACATTTAATAATGAGTTGAATGTGTTTGGTTTACCTAAAATAAGTTAGAAGATACAGTAACCCACAGCTTAAAACATACTGGAAACACATTTTAATTCAAGTAAAACCCAGTGTTCATATGTAAGGTATGTGCATCCAAACATGTATGCTGTATGTGGAAAAACATGCAGGATGAATATCTTTGCAATTTCAGTGCGTCACATAAGTCTACTGCTTTCTCACAGCCTTTTTGGCTTATGGGACCTCTTTCATTCTTTCCCAACCTTCTGCCAGGATATGATCCAAGATCTCTCAGGTGACCCACAGAATCTGTGTTTTCTGCCAACACTCATTGAGCTGCTTCATGAGATGCTCTTTTTCCCAAATATATGATACATTTTTTATAGCCCCATAGATTAAGCACATTTTGAGCTTTTTTATTAAAGATGCATTATATTGGGATTCCAGTAATGAGAATACATCCAAAATATTTCCCTAATGAAGTCCTAGAAAGCTGACAGATGTCATTTATTGTTCTGCCAGCCTTCTTACAATTTAAGAATAGATACTCTGAATGACTTTAGATGCTTCTAGGGTTTTGTTCTGTAAAATACGTGCCTTTATCTGCTAGTAGTAGACAGTTATCTCAGGCTGTATTACTGCAGAGAACCTTTAAAATAAATATGCCCATGCTGCACCTGTGAAGTGAGCTGTGTACAGAGGAAATCACAGGCACAGAAGGTGTATATACATCTGGTCCAGAATAGTTGCATGATCTTTGCCTACCCTTTCCCACACTCAAAGGAGGGGAAAGGGTTTTTACTGAAGTCAGTGACAGACATGTAGTTGTACTGGACCTTGACTTTGGAACTCCCTGAAGTTCCTGCAGTTGCATTAGTTAAGGAGAAAGATATTTAAATTGGAGGTGTTCTAAGCATTTGAATATATATTAAACTATCTTTTTAGAGTCATGTTACTTTCTGGTAGCCAGTATTCTTCCACCCAGCCCCTCCATTGCAATTTTCAGAAAACTTTTCAGAAATAATGAGAATAAATTTGCTTAGTCTGAAAACGTCCATTTAAAAATTTATTATCTTGTTAAATATTTCTAATATCAAGCAAGTTTTAGGGATAATTGTTCTTAAATCTCTAACATTTGATAAATAACTATTTTGCTTTATAAGCAAGAAGATATGGGTGACAGTACCTATCTGAAATCCAGCTATAGGAAATGCTTCAAAAAAGAAGGCAAAGTCAGGAGAGGAATAAACAGTAGAAAAACTTAATTAACAACACAGTCTATACAGTAGATGTTGGCTGCAATAGGCACACTATAACATATAACTATTCACAAAAATTAAAAGCAGTTGTAGAAAGATTTCTGTATACTGTAATGTTCCATAATGATTAGATTGAGAAATTGGTATAACCTTTTTGAATTACCAAAATTAAATGAGCAGTGACTAAAATTTCAAGTAAGAAATTGTTGCTTTTTTGCTTACTCTATGTACAAAAGGAAAACGTTTGTTCTAAAAAGAAATGATGGTTGGGAATTCTTAGGATTCTGTATATATAGTAGGCATTAATCTGCCTGGAAAAGTATTAAAATAATTGACTAAAGCTATCTCATTATCCTGTTTAATGCTTTACATTTTCTTAGTTTGTGAAAAGTATGTATGTGTGAATGATATTTAAAGTATGCTGCCCACTGTCTGAGTTTAAAAAGCAGGAACCTGGAATCATCTTTAATTTTTTGTCCATTTTTTGGTATGTCATCTATTATTTTACACATTGTGGTCAGCTTTGTATGTTCAGATATCTTCTGTGCTATATTTCTAAAACTTTAAATGTTTGAGGTTTTTGCTGTGTTAGGTCTTCAAATGTGTAATTATGTGGAGAAAAGTTGCATAAGACTTAAAGGGAGAAGGCTAAAGGAAATTCTATTTCACATTTATAGTTCTTTCATCTTACTACATTATGAAGGCAGCTAATTCCCCTTTTGTTGGAGTAGATTTAAAATACTCAAGTTCTCTTTTTTTTTTTTTTTAATACTAATGTTATTTGCATGTAGTGTTGAGTATATATGCATACATATCTGTAGTTCAGGTTGATTAAAATTTATTCACAATAACCCATGTAACTGTATAAAATTACTTCATTCACAAAAAAAAACTGGTAAGACAAATACAAAAATACTTTTTACTTATTGAACAGAACTTCTTCCTTAAAGGGGATAGACGTGCTGCAATGTTGAGATTGCAGTCTGTGATACAAATCGGGGGGGTGAGGAGTCCTGACTTGGCGGTAAGATCGGTTCACTAGTCCTTACACAACCTTGTTAACTTCCAGGAGTTTTCACTGTGTGAGGGCATTTAGAGCAAGCCTAATGAGCTTAGCTAAGCAAACAGTTGGTGAATTGATTACAGTAATGTGCATTATCAGAACCTTTCACTCATTAGAATGTTTTGATGAGCTGAAAGCTAAAAACACAAGCTTCATAATGTAGTTGAACTGAGTGCCGTGTCCTTAAAAGTCATGCTGAGAATGGATGCATTGCCAAGTGAAGAATAAGCACTCTTCAATAAAAAAAAAAAACAAGACAACAGTTTTGAACTTCAGTTCTGTATTTCCAAAGAACCTTCCAATTTTGGCAGTGACAGAATTTACAGAGCTTTTTTTAAATTTTCATTTAAAAGTGAGCAAGAAATGTGAAACGTCACTGGTTTTAAGTTTTTTTTTATTTACTCTTTTTATTTGACTTGCTTCTGTGATTACTGGCTCATCAGATATTATGACAATATGTAAATTTCAGTTCTTACAGAGAAAGGATAATTGTTTTTGAAAGCTAATTGATTTTTGTTTTCTGTGAATTGGATTATTTAGCCAGTCCCTTACAGGGAAGCATTTTTCCGTATTCTTTGATGAAAACATACAAGAATGTTGGTGCTTGTTAGTGTTGTTATAAGTAGGTGTATTAAAATGCTGAACCCTCTAAAGAAGAAATATCTTCTGTACGATCTTTCTTCTCCTATTGGAAAACTTCAGCAAATTTTTTTGCATTTCATTTTATTAAGAGATTTCAGAGAAGCAGCTTATAGTTAGTTTGTTTGTTCCATGTAGGTAAACCAGCTAATTATATTTGAAGTGTTTTGTTTTAATACAGCAAGAACATAGTAAAAAGTAAAATAAAATCAAATCATGAGTAAATTTTTTAACTTAGTACATACAGATATTAAAAGGCTTTTCTCTTTCTCTTCTGGAACTTTTATAGCGAGTGGAAAATGGTGACTTCAACTGGATTATTCCAGGAAAATTTTTGGCATTTAGTGGACCACACCCAAAAAGCAAACTTGAAAATGGTATGGTATATATTTTAATGCTATTCTATGATCTTATTTTCTCCAGCATGTTAAACACTCACAGAAAATGAGCAGAAGATAATAGAGATTTATAGATTAATCTTCATCTTCAGAAATAATCATACGGTTACATTTTATATATGATCATAGAACTTAATTCCAAAGGTTTTGGAATTCTTTGCTACAAGAATTCCAATTCTTCTAACAGTCAGAGACTTTTGTTCAGTGACAAAGTACCTAAGAAATTCAGATCCCTTACTTTTCCCCTGGAACATGACACCTGATACAAGAAACATGTGGAATTAAAGGTGAGTTGCATAAAACCAAGGAGACTGTATTAAGAGTTTTGTAACAAAGGACAGGAAGGACTTTAAAAAGAAGCTTGCCTTTTCTCCTGAAGATTCTTGGGATAATGGGAAGAACCTATGTGATTCTAATGGACTAAAAGAGCGAAACTGGACTGACAAGTGAAAGTAGAGATTTGGTCTAGCTGAAAGGAAAATCGGTCATTTAAAAACTACAATCAGATTTTTGTTGAATTTCACCTTATTCTTTGTGCCATGTCACTTTGCTTATGTGAGCATGTTTTCTGAATTTTTAATTTTTTTTTTCTTCCCACCTCTGCTCTCTCATGTTTCCTTGATGACTAGAATGTTGCTAATAACATAGTGTCCACTGAAGATTTAACAAAATCCAGGGAGAAAATATTTAGTTTGGTTTGGGTTTCTTGCTTAATCATTGTTACAGTCCCTTCTTGCAGATTTTTTTCAAAAATCACTTAAATTGCTCCATGGAATTTGGAAAACCTGTTTTATTTTTAACATGTATATAAGTGAAAATTACTAAATTAACACTAATGCTTAAAATCCAGTTATGAGGCTACAAATAAGCCTCACCTAGGTTAGTGTAAGTACACATTAAAAAGCTACATTTTTCTCATTATGTTGTGACTCTAATTGCATTTACTAATGCATATATGACTTCTGGAAATGACCTGTGTTTTGCGAGGAAGCTTTTGGACTTCTTTTGAACAGGAATAAAAACTGTAGAGATAAACCAGTGAACTTAGGCAATGACAGACTTTCTGATTTTTGTGATAGCCATGTTGTTCCTGTGTTTTCTTTTTAAGGCTTAATTGTGAATGGAAAAGAAAAAAAAAACATTTCACGTACATACATCCGATAGACATGTGTGCATGTGCACACACTCCCTCATGCCTTTGGCAACATAGAACATCTGATTGGTGAAAGTGTCCTAAATAGTTGTGGTGTGGTTGGTCTTTGACCTTTCTACCTACATCCCCGCCTTTGTCCTGTCTCAGCTGAATAAAGGCACTAAAGATTTTTTTACTATACAGCGGAGCCAAGAATGTTTCTGGTACTGCAGTTTATCCTTTGACTGTTCCTCTTCTCCTTGATCAGCAGCCTGATTTCCTCAAAAACACAGTGTTTCCTCTTAAAATATATTCTTCCGCTTTGATCTGCAGCTTGACTATAGATAAGCAGCTATTCTGAAATGCTGAATTCATATATAGAATCATAGAATGGTTTTAGTTGGGAGAGACCTTAAGGATCATCTAGCTCCAACCCCCCTGCCATGGGCAGGGACACCTTCCACCAGCCCAGGTTGCTCAAAGCCCCGTCCAACCTGGCCTTGAACACTCCCGGGGAGGGGGCAGCCACAGCTTCTCTGGGCAACCTGTGCCAGTGTCTCACCACCCTCACAGGAAAGAATTTCTTCCTCTTATCTAACCTATATATCCACTTTTTCAGTTTAAAGCTGTTACCCCTCGTCCTGTCACTACCTGATAGAGTCCCTCCTCCTCTTTTCTGTAGCCCCCTTTTAGTACTAGAAGGCTGCTATAAGGTCTTTCCAGAGTCTTCTCCAGGCTGAGCAACCCAAACTTACTCAGCTTGTCCTCATAGGTGAGGTGCTCCAGCCCCCTGATGATCTTTGTGAACTCCTCTGGACTTATTCCAATAGATCTATGTCCTTCTTATGTTGGGAGCCCCAGAGCTGGACACAGGACTCCAGGTGGGGTCTCATGAGAGCGGAGCAGAGGGGGAGAAATCCCCTCCCTTGACCTGCTGGCTGCACTTCTCTTGATGCAGCCCAAGATACAGTTGGCTTTCTGGCCTGTGAGCACACATTACTGTCTTCCAGTCAGTTTTCCATCCACTACTACTATGAAGTCCTTCACCACAAGACTGCTGTCAATCCACTCATACTGTATTTGTGCTTGGGTTTGCCCCCAACCCATGTGCAGGACCTTGCACTTGGCCTTGTTGAACTTCATGAGGTTTGCCCAGGCCCACTTCTCCAGACTGTCGAGGTCCCTCTGGATGCCATCCCTTCCTTCCACTGTGTCAGCCACACCACACAGCTTGGTGTTGCCTGAACTTGCTGAGGGTGCACTCAGTTCCGCTGTCTGTGTCACCAACAAAGACGTTAAACAGTGCTGGCCCCAACACTGACCCCTGAGGAACAACACTCATCACTACTCTCCACTAGGACATCGAGCCATTTACTCCAACTCTTTGAGTGTGACTATCAAGCCAGTTCTTTGTCTACTAAGTGGTTTATCCATCAAATCCTCATCTCCAATTTAGAGACAAGGATGTCATGCGGGACAGTGTCAAGTGCTTTGCACAAGTCCAGGTAGATGACATCAGTTGCTCTCCACCAGCGCTGTAACCCTGTTTTAGAAGGCCACCAGATTCGTTAGGTGTGATTTGCCCTTGGTGAAGCCATATGTGCCTAGCTTTATGTATAAAACCTTACTTGTAGAGAGAAATGGGCTAAACAGAAGACAGACAGTGTTTCACATATACTATGTTTTAATTTTTTTTTTCTAATCCTTTTAAATTATAGTGGTCTTTATGAGCATTTTGTGACCATTTTTAATATCATTTAATTGTTTATTCTGAATAAAATATTAAAAGCATTTTCAGTATTAGTACATTTATCATTCAAAAAAGGTTTTGGGGGCAGTTTTGATTAGTAGGACTTTGAACTTCATCTATGACATTAAATGATTGTTGCTTTATTTTTTTATAGGTTATCCTCTTCATGCACCTGAAGCCTACTTTCCCTATTTCAAGAAACATAATGTCACATCAATCATAAGACTAAACAAAAAAATTTATGAGGCAAAACGCTTTACTGATGCTGGTTTTGATCATTATGACCTGTTCTTCATAGATGGAAGCACACCAAGCGACAGTATAGTTCAGAGGTTCCTGAACATCTGTGAAAATGCAGATGGTGCTATTGCTGTACATTGTAAAGGTATGTGCACTTATTTAATTCTCAGATTGAAGTTCAAAATAAGTATAAATCCATAGAGTTTATTCTAGAAATAAAGCATTTAAAAAGATAACACTTTCTGGTTGTGAAAGTAATATTGCCTTATGATACTTGACTAAATATATAACAAATACTTGTTATTTTCATGTGCATTTTAAGTTTTTTCACCCTACGCTACTACTTACAGTAACTGACAATCCGTTGTTCGTTGTTCTGTTTTTTCTTAATATCACTTGAAGGCATGAGGTTTAGTTCATGGAGATTTCTCTTTTGCATTATGCTTTCGCTGCATTATGATAATTGGCTAGAAAATGCGAAAGACTGAAAGGTTTTCTTTGTAGTTTTGGACTGTTCTACATTTTTCTGTGGAGCATGTCTTCCACGTTTCAAGTTAATGTGAGTTATTGTGATTCCAGCATTTCAAACCAGCCTATTTCAGCAAATCAACAAGAAAATACACAAAACATGCTTAGTCAAGAATGATTAACAAAGCCTTTGAAGAGTTCAGCTTGATTTATGTTTAGAGTTGTGTAAGGACATTGTGGAGACAAATGTCTTGCTGCTCTGAAACAAGAATAGTGCTATTCATAATTTTTCCATGAACAATAAACACGCATATCAAAGATAAATAAGTTTACTTGCTAACAAGTTGTTATTGTGGCTAGAACCCAGAAATTCTGGCATTAATAAGCTGGACATCTGCTAATTGACTAAATGAGAGTATAAACAATTGGTTAGCAGGAGTACATTGTTATTCTCTGGGCTTAGTTGCTAAAGGAATACAGTATACTTTTCTAGTGACATAGATATGCACTTGCTAAACTGAAATTTTTGGTCTTTCATCTGACCATTTAATAAGAAAATAAACAATGTCATCCCTTTTAGGTTTTTTACAACCCTCTAAATAAGTCTATGCAAAGTTAAATCAACAGTTAACTTGAAGTTAATGTATTGTCTGTATTTTGCTTGTAATCTTATTGCAGAAGTATTCCAAGCACAGCTCCCACACTAGAAGTTGCTTGTCCTAGAAGTTATGGAATGGTTTCATGCAAAGGGTTGCTATGGAAAGTGCATTAGAAGGAACTTAGAGAAGAGTACTGAAATCTTGGTGATATATGAAGTTGGTAGATGTTACCTGCAATTTTCAGAGACCATTTTCTTATTCAGATGTATATTTAGTATAATACAGCTTTTGGTTATCTATTTGCATGTTCCATTCATTTTGCATTTAAAACAAAACAAAATCACACAAGCCCAAAACTCACTCTCTAACAATACCTCTCCTTTTTAAATTATTCTTCAGAGCTAATCTTCCAATATGCAGTTATAGAATCTCACTATTTGTGAACTTTTACCTGAATCATCTTAACATTCCAAAAAGTCACAGCAAAATTTAGCTATTTAGCTATTAAATGTAAAGAGCTTGTACTTTTGTATAAAATTGTCAGCAAGGATGTCCGGCTGCTTAGAGAGTTTGCATTTAGATAGTTGTTGGTACACAAACAATAGCTGGCCATCATGAGACTGTAAATCACAAATACAGTATTTGTGGGAAAATAAGGCTTAAATGGGGAAACACTTTACTAGTAGATAAGACACAGGGCTAGAAAGAAATTGATTCTTACTCTATAGTTAGAAATTTGTCTGATAGTAAAAGCTGATTTTTTTTTTTTGTCTCCATTCTCCCCTTAAAACCAGGATTAGTTTGTGATTTGGGGGACAATGGGTTAAATTATTTTAAGATATTGATATATAAAATTATATGCTGGTCAACATTCATTGCTGTTTATACAAATAGCAGTGAATAGTTTTACAGGTTGGTTTCACAACAAAACTGAGTCAAAAAGCCAGTGGCTGAAAAGACACATGTTTGCATGTTATTTGAACCTTGGTTTGTAAAGTATGTATCTTGGCCTCAAAGGTACTTTGATTTTGTTTTTTACTAGTTTTATAAATATGAAGCTTGTATCCAGCTTGGTCACAGCTTTTCCTAAAATATCAGCCTTTTTAAAAATAAAAGTTTGAAGTAGAATAGTACAAGTGCCAAGAATGATCACTGGTGCATGTGTTCTTAAATGCTGTTAACTTTTTCTGATATATTTGTTCTTATATCTACAGCATTGAAATTCAATTATATGATAAATGGGATACTGAATCAGAAATTCTTTCTTCAAATATTAAGGTGGTGAATAATATTTCAAAGAAGTCTTCTCATTCATATGCCATACTTTAATTTGGTAACTATGAAATGCTCATGTCTTTGTATGTGGGTGTTCATATTTGTGTTTCTGTAGCTGGCCTGGGGAGAACAGGAACACTGATTGCCTGTTACATAATTAAACACTACAAGTTCACACATGCTGAAGCCATTGCTTGGATAAGAATATGTCGACCAGGCTCTATTATAGGACCCCAGCAACACTTCCTGGAAGAGTATGTATACCTTCTTTGCTACCAAGAATCAACTGCTTCTCTACATCCTTATCCATCTTGCACTATTTATAGGATCTACTTTCTGTCTACTGATGTCATGTATTACTGCCTGTTGCAATATATTTAATGTTAGTTAATTTGGGATTGAAATGAAACTTACTCAGTAGCAGTTTTCTTCTCTAGAATGGTATGCATTTTGTCACTTTAAGGGTCAGAGGGTCTTGTGTTCTGGGGGATTTAGGAGTTAGACAAACGTGTTGGAAGTGTAAAGTCCAGATGTGGACAAAAGATTAAATCAACAATAAGGATTTATTTAAATATGAACATAGAAAGTATAGACTTTTATATATAACCATGATGACACTTAAAATGAATCTTACAATAGTGTAATTGATATGGTTTTTTTCTTTCTTGTAACTAAAGATTAAATAACTATGTGGTGGACAGCTTATGATCTCTATCAGATTCCTAGCATATTGTATGAAGCATTTCTGATTTGAAACTAATAGTCATTAGCAAACAAATGTATGGTTTTAATACAGCTCCTTCTCAAAATTGACTGTATAGTTTGGGTTGAGAACATTTTATGTACCGATAATTTTTTGGGGGTGATTCAAGGTTTGATCCTGACAGGAAATTAATGACAAAATTGCACTGGCTTCAGCAGTGTAAACGTTAATTTTAATTTTGTAGTGGTTTCTACATTATACATTTACTATTACAGTGATTATGCTGATGTTTTTTGAGTTGATACCATGATGGTATTTAGTTGGAGGCATTTTGTGCTGTTATGAGAAAAAACATTTTGAGAAAATCCACCACAATTTAATCTCTCTTTGGAAAAAAAGAGAATGCAACAAGTCTGCTAGATACTGTGTAAATACAGTAAATCATGCACTGACCTTGCATCTTAAAATCCCTAGGTTATCAGAGAGAAAGAAGGAGTATTACTGTAATTCATAAGAGAAATTGAGCATGACTGAGGATTCCTATTTACTTTCCAGTGCAACTGAATAGGGTCTCCTTTTTTTTGAGAGATGGCCCACCATTATTCAAACTACTGTGAATCACAAAACTTTTACAAAACACAAGTGCATACTGAAGTCAGATTAAACTTCTCCACACCATGCTGATGCTTGGATGATGCACTCTTAAAAATAACTTCCACTATAGAGCAAAATGAGGAGAGAAAGGTAGTAGATAGTGTGATTAGTAAGTGCTGTTTACTTGGAAGATAGGAAAAACAGGGCCCATGTCTTTTCTGCAGTGGTGTATAAATAATTGGTTTGATTTTATAGATAGTCAAAGATCCTTTAGATTTTTTTCATTCATACCTACATTATTCATAGTTAAGAGCTGTAGTATTGTTCAGTTAGAATTTTCTGTGGTCCTAATGGCAATAGATACCTGTTTTGACAGTCAGACAAGATTCAAGCAATGTCATGAATAGTGTCAAAATGGGATGGAAAAAGGAGCTAACATCAGTTGTATCATTCTAATATAAAATATCTTGCCCTCAGGGCTGCAAAGTTGTATCTGACAAGGTAAAATCTTGCAACTTTGACCTCCCAACCTTTGTAGATGTCAAAGATTCATCTTTTAGGTTCTTTGGGATTTAATAAGGGAGGCTTGAGTAGGATTTTTGTAGAGACTGTCCCACCCGAGTATGTATTGAATCAATTTGTTACTGTGAATGCAATTAATCTTGAAAGATTTCAAGGATATTTCCATTCAAGCATGTTTTCTGTTAGGTGGAATAAGTTGTGCTCCCTCTCCCACTCTTCACTCCTTCTCCCTTCTTTTGATGTTTTCTTGGGACATAGTAAAATTTTTCTGGAAATGCTTACCTTTCCCATTTAGTATTGAACAAGTTTAGGCAGCTGTCTCAGACTACTTGGCTTTTAAGATTTGCTGTAATATTTTATTTTCAAATAAAAGTTTTCAGTGAAAGTATATTCTGATGTAGTTCCTCATTCCTTTTTTCTCAGTATAGGAATTTAATTTTATTAGAATAATATGTAATAGGGTCTCAGTTCTTGGATGGCACTAGCATGACCAGTACCTACCCAGCAAACTTCCTTATTGAGGACTAATGAAGTCTCATCAACAAAAGCCCACTTAGCCTGTGCACACTGTAGCAATTAGATTATATTTTTTTTTACCACCTGTGTGATGGATATAATCTTTCATTTTCTGAAAACTGATACTAGAGTCCTGTTCAATTTTACATAACTATAATGACTTCTACTGTGCAGGTCAGCTGTAGTTTTATTGCATAATATCTGTATACACATGCTAATATGAAGTTAGAAAGTGCTGTATCATTACTTAATCTACACATTACATATCTGAAAGCATTATAGGAATTTTTAAGTTGTGTTTTAAAAACCTGAAAAATACCATTTCAAATTCCTGTTTAGTTAATCTCTTTTCTCAGTAGGATTTTTGTGAAGATTTAGTACCTGTTCTATTTCCGTGGTGGCTACAGATTTGTTTGCTGATTCTGGCATTTTTTGGGGCATTTTTTTGTTGGTTTTAACCATTGGGATTTTTTTTTTTTTTGTGATAGGCATTCAGATTTTTTTTTTCAGATAAAGATGTAGAGAAGATTCAAATGTTGGCAATCTGTAAGAGGAGCATGTTTTCATATTGTTTTTTATGTGTATGCAAATTTGTTGATATTAATTTATTTCATTTTATACCCCAAAGGAAACAAGCAATGTTATGGCTGGAGGGAGATCTCATCCGATCAAAGCAGAAACAAGGAATAGTTGATGGAAACATAAACAGAGTTCTTTGTGGTTTGAATGACATTTCAATCAGTGACAGCTTGAATAAAGTGCAAGACCTGAATGCATACAGGGAGGTAAGAGTTCACAGGAAAAATTTCAGACATGGAGCTGATCTTTTAGCAACTACCTAGCTATAATTTTTAGATTTTTTTAGGCTTGTATTTGTACTAGATTGCTTTTTCACAGCTAAACTTCTTGGGTTTATAGATCATAATTAGAAAAATTCTCTACCTTTTTTTAAAAAAAAGCTTAGGTTATATTTAAAACTGCTATAGGTAATTTTCTAAACTTCCAAAGGTTTGCATTATTTCAAGTCATTCTTTCAGGTTTTCAGTTGTTTATTGGGAGAATGGAGGGGGGGGGGGAAAAGTCAGTTTTGGTCCTGGAAATCTATTTATTCCAAGTTTCTAACTAATAATGCATGAGTGTATAGATGTCCATCCCTTTATCGCATTGTTATGGATTACTGATGTGATATGTACACTTATGGTAAGGACCTTAAAATTATTTATTGGAAGCACAGTCATGCAGTGTGAACTAAAGTGAACGTATTCTGCTTCCAGGTAGTAAAAATCTTAAACTGTAGTTTCCTATAGTTTCTGTGAGAAGCAGTTTAGAGGAACTATGCATTTGATCAATCCTCTCTTAGCTCTGTAATAACTAAAGAGCTTTTACATTGCTGACAGAATCTTTGAAATGATGTACAAGACCAGAGATCTAGTGCGCATCTTCTTCAGATAGTTATTAATGTAAATGAAAATAATCATCTACCATGTGATCTGTCATAATCTGGAGGAGCACCTTGAATGCATTTCCGTAAAAGTACTATTTCCCTTTTGGAAGTTCAATTTGTGGCTTGGAATATGTAAAGTTAAATATCTAGATTACTCACAGGAGAATATGAGACTGTGTAGAGATGATCTTGTATGCCTAATGAAAACAGCTAGCATATAGCCATATGGGTGAAAGTAATGTTTTTGAATCTAAGCTGCTACTACAACTTTACCACTTCCAGTATTCAAGGCAACTTACTTGCAGGTAGCTCAACTACCTGTACACTGTGTAACAGCTTATGTACAGATTCACAATATAAATTCACAGTGCTGCTTTTTTTCTATTGTAGTCCTCTCTGTAATGTGTGTATTTCAGTTTTACACAGATGTCACATTAAAGCTGTTTAACATTCAGTTTTCAAAACCTTTATCTCTTTAGGTATTTGGTTATATTTCAAGACCTCATTATACTAGGCTCTGTAGAAGCTCAAAACAAGTTAATGTTCCCAGTCCAAAAAATGCTTAAGGTCTAAGAATCAGAAGACAGATCAGCTACATGCAGTAATTGTTGGGCAGGTAAAGGGTGGAACAAAATTTACCAGCACTGAGGCTGAATGATAGGTAACGTTGGCCTAGCATATACTCTTCAATGAAATCTAGCTAAAATATTTATATTTTCCTATAATTAATGCAACACTTGGACCATCACATCATTTGATTAACTTCTATTTTATTACTTCTGTCAATTGTTTATCTTGGTTAATGGCAGAAACTATTGTTTTATGCAGAGCAGTGAGGTCATTTATGTACAATAGGAAATGCCGCAATACAAATACACGTTGATCTAAGGTCAAATGAAGCATAATTGATATAAGGTTCTTCTGCATTTGGTAATTTAAAAAAATGCAGTTCTCTTCTTGCTTTGTGTAACATTTCTCTGCTACTTAAGATACTGTCTCTACTTAATACTTGGGTCTTAGAAAAGTCTATTTTGAGATCAGTAAGAAATTATAAATAGGCATTTAAACAGTGTTAGCATACACTTTTAATATTGCTTAGAGTTTATAATTTCTAAAGCTGGAAGAAGTGGGATAAAACTGAAATCTGTTCAATATTTTTTCAAAACTATTTTTCTAGAGGTCATGAAAACTTTAATTTAAAAAAAAAAACCCTCGTAATTTAGGAAATTTGGTTTTTAGCTCCTCTAATTTATCTAAATTTCTTCCCTCATTTTGTGCCTATCACAAAATTGTGTGTTACTGCTTCCCTTCCACATTGATAATAACTTTAAAAATATTTATGGAGGAAGGAGTTGGAGTTTATGTTCTATAAAAACAGACTTCTTTGAAGTAAATAGATACTGGTATTGGACTCAAGCATCCTGAATGACTTTGAAGTCAGATTCTGCAAAAAGCCTCTGTGAATGTGCATTTGTACAATGACACATGTAATTTACTGGAACTAGGCAAAGACAGAGTAGTGCCCCATATATGCAGAAGAATGTATTTAGCCTTTTAAACTATAATCTTTGCAAAGGAGATGTTCAATACTTTGGAATTACACTACTCCTAAGTGTTTGATATATTTCCTTGCTTGCATACTTTGTGTTTCCCAGAATGATTTTGAAGACAAAGCAGGTGTGGAAACTCAGAATGGCATGACCCAGGGAGATAAGCTTAATGCCTTAAAAAGTCGGAGACGGCCATGTTCTGCTACAACTGGAGCTCTGAGGTAATTTGCCATTTTAAATTCAATCTTTGGTATCAGATCTTTATGGCATGTACATGGCCTTGTTTAAGGCAGTGGTACTAGCTGCACCACCTTCTGTGGTGGAAATTTCTGTAGGTATAGTAGTTGCAGATTTGGTTTATTAATTTAATCTTCTGGGGTTTTTTTTTTCCTCTGTCTCCCTGTTCAGATACCTACTTATTATGTAGTAGTAAAAGACAAAGTAAAAAAAATATCTCCAAACCTTCAAATTTATATCTATCTAGAATTTTAAAGCTTGTCTCAAACAGAATATTCTTCAATGAACCTGATTATCTTACTGTAATTACTTATCCTGTACTCCTTATACAAACTTTGAATTTTTCAGAACCAGTAAAAATGTGAAGTTTGAAAATAAACCTAAAGTACCTCTGTGTTGTTTAACTGTAAATTTAAATAATGATTGTCAATAATTCTTAATTCTTGTTAGTCTTGTACTTTAAAGCTAATACAAGCCATGCAAGTATGCTCTGGGGGAGTGGAAAGGCTTTTTATCCTTTGATAAAGATTGCAGCTTTTGTTTCTTTAGGCTGCAAGACATGAAACTACACACCAGGTCAATATCACAACCTTTCAGGTATTAACTTTATGATTCTAAATGTATATTACTCAGGTCTTAAACTTTCAGTGTTTTGAATTATACTTATCACATCAATTGATTAACAATTTCAGACTTCTGAGAACTTTTTTCCAGAAGATGTACCAGATAAATATTGAACATTAGTAACTTTTCATATTTTAATACAGGGTCCTCACTGTACACTTGAGTACATGCTTTGTTCAGAACTTCCTGTGAAGCCAATAAAGCCAATAGTTTCTTCTCATTTTCTAAATGTTTATTTGATTTATGATCTGTACTATTCTCAAATCGGTACTGACTGTGTCCCTCATAAGGAAATAAAACATAGAGTGAAAATTGACTTAATTTTAAGAGTTATAGGAATAGCAAAATTGAGTCTTTTGTTATTGTAATCATGTCCTTTACCCTACTGCATCTAAAATAAAACATGTAAGACAAAATTTCTGTCATTATAAAGTATTAATACTGAAAAGAACACATTCTTTTCAGTTTGGTGACAACCTACATTTTTGAGATGTATTACTCCAGATGTCTAACCTTGGAGATGTCCATTTACCCTTTCTTGGTGTGGAATTAAAGCTCTTTCTGTCAAATGTCATTCCTTCTGTGCTTGTAGCTGGAGACTTATACCCATCCTTTAAGAGCTGATCATCACAGTATTCCCTGGTCTAAGGATGGAGAGAATTTCATACTACTGTGAGGCTATTCATTTATTAGTTTGTAATAAACTAATATGGGCAGCTATAATGCTAGCATTTTTGAGTAGTCCAGTGTACCATACTTACAGCTCATTATCAAAATACAAGGGATTTGGTCATTAAGAGTCCCACCCTAGAAAGAGCTGTATGTTCTGTGCAACTTTGTAAAAATATTTTTGCCGTCATTTGGAAATGATGATGATCTTTTCATGAAAGCTAGGGTTTTTTATTACTCATGCTTGTTTTATAAGCACGATTAAAATATTTATATATTGTAGGAAAAATTACAATATTTAACAGTTATAATCAAATTTACAGTAAATTTGATACAAAATGTACATTTAACCTTCACAAATTATCAAGCCTGTAACTGTATCATGGAGTGGGATATTTGAGAAGTTTTTTTGAAAAGATATTTGAAAACAGGCAGACTGTTGATTTTTTGCTCCTGAGTTCTCAGTACTCAGACTTGAGAATTCCCACTTTTTAAAATACCAGTCTGTGTATTGAAAGACTGTATGTCTTTCTGGGATGTATATTTCAATTATAAAAATCTTGCTTCTCACTAAAACTCTGCACTCCTTTTAGATTGAATACTTCAGGTTGCACCGAAGGATCCATGTCTCCTCTGAAGGCCTCCAAAGTGATGGCAGTTAATTCACCATCTGCAGAAAGAATAAACAGCATTCACACATCCCCAGGCTCTAACCTTAAAAGGTTTTTTATTTCTTCTCATTTTGGTACACATACTTACTGTATACTACAATGGTTTTCAGCACATATGCACTCTGTGAAGCACTTTCTGTTCTTGGGTGTTACAAGGCTTAAATTTATTTACAAAGTGATTTGCTGTTCCACTAGTCAAACCATAGTTGCCTGCAGATTAAAAAAAACAAACAAAACCCAAAACCTATACTACTGGTATGAGAGTTTTGGTGGCATTATATCAAGTCAAAACCAGTATTATGTTGCTCAGGCTTTTACTTACCCAAGTTTATAAAAGTTTTGCAGGTATTCCCACAAATCCAGGTACTATTCATCTCAGAAGAATATATGGAGTGGTAACTAATATGGTTTTTATGAACCCTTGATTTATTGCTCTTTAATTTCATTGTTACTATTATACTAAGTAATTATAGATATTAAATGAAATTTAGAGTGATTGATGCATTTTTAATAACATCTGTGCTCAAATATTTACTTGAAGAAAATAACTTAAAGAGCTATTTCAGGACACCCTATTTTTTTTCTCAAATTTCATCATATTACTTCTTGGTTACTTGAAGACTTGTATCATGTTATTAATTTTAAGAAATAGAAGAGGAGTTCTTAAACTGTTACCTGTACACAGAGTACTTCTATGTAGATCAGCCACTGCCTAAACCTTTTAACACAATCTCCTGCATGTGCATATGGTTTGACAGAGGTGAAATCTGGCTGTGATAGTACTTGAATAAACAAAGTTTGGGAACTCCTGACAGAATTCTGGTTTTCATCATTTGAGAGCTAGAAGATGAACCTGTGTGCAAACACAAAATAATTCAGAATGGTCTATGTTATTCACCTAATGTCTTCTGAATTGTCTGTTACTTTTTTGTATATATCTGTACATACATTGTGTATATTTTTTTTTCCCCACATGTGTTTTCCATTCAGCTTTTCCATAAACTCCAGACTAGCCAGTTCTCTAGGGAACCTGTATGCCGCTTCAGATGATGATGAGAGCAAAATGACATCATCGTACTCTAGGACAGGTTTTTCTGTAAGCCATATCTCCAGCCACTTGAATGGCAGCTTGCAGCTGCCTCACAGAAATAACCATGAACTGAACAACAACTTATACAACAGAAACAGCAGTAGCGGCAACAACCTGAGCAGCCAAACCAGTTTTCATAGCGCCGTGACAGATGAGTACGCATCAGCCTTCCTTTATGGACCTTACAACTCCTCCAGCACGATACCAGAGTCAATCAATTCCTGTAAGTTCATAGTCACAACAGCATATTCAGGCATCTGACCAATGCTTATCTTCCTTGCTTCTGCAAGAAAAGCTGTCACAAAAAAATCTTAAGCCAGCATAGTTCTCTGACTTCTTTAATGTTTCTGGACAGCACCTTTGTCTGTTACCTTTTTAAGTAATTATCATTTCAGCTGCTTTTTTTCCATCTCTTATAAGCATCTAGATCATGGAGGGTTCATGAAAATAAATCACTCCTGAACTTAAACTAATGCTTTTTTCTGATACCTCTTTCTTATATCTCTTTTTTATGGACTTTCTTACCCTTAACTTTTTTTTTATTTCAAATTATCTATAACATAGTTTATAAGTTTGTTATGTATCTTAATCTTCATGCAGCAACAGATTAAGCCTTTGTATCCCTCATACTAAATGGAAGGTACAACATTCTTAACAACAGGGCTCATTTGAAACCTAGACCTTTTCTAACACCAAATGTGAAAAGTATTTTAGAGCAAGATATTTCAAACTCTGTTTAGTAGTACTGACACTTCCAATTTATTTTTTTTTAGCTGCTGGAAATAAAAATTACCTTCACATAAAATTAACTTCAGAATATTACACCTTTCTTTTCTGTTTTCACAACACTGATAAATTATTTCAGTGTTAAGGAAAATTTTAGTGTTATACCTGCTACTGTTTTTGAGTGTGGCGAGTCCCCTGTCTTAAAACAGCTAATACACACATTGCACATAACTAAGATGTCAGCCAAAAATACCATTTATGTGTTGTGCTCACTTTTTTCCTGAAGAAGTGGGGGATCTACCCTCTTGCTAACAGCTAGGATGTGGCACCACTTACAGTTCAGAAGCCACATGTTTATAGCTTGGGAGTATAAATTGCACTTTCTGAGGACAGATGACAGTATGAAATAAATTCTCGTTGTTCCATTGTGGAATTAAATTGCATGGGTGACTGAAACCTAACTAGTATATGAAGTACATTGAAAATTAAGTTAGTTGAGGGAACTTGATTGTGTATTCTCTTAAATTCAGTGGATACTTCCACTGGAAAAGGAGTAGTTACTGTGCTAGAATGTGCTTGATCTATAGAAACTCTTTAAAATGCTTGATGCTTTAAGACTCCTTGTTTGAAAGTACATTTAGCTTCTTATTTACTATAACTTATCTGGAAAGAAATGTTAATGTTGCATGATCTTAGGATCACTGAGTGTTCTGCACTGAGTTTAAATTTGAGTTTAAACTTTACTTTTAAACTTATTTGCAAAGGAATTCTTTAGTATTTCCCCATCCTTTCAGTTTTTTGAAGTTGTTTTACCTCCTTAATTTGGCTGTGGTTTTTACCTCCTATGTGGGACTGAGGTAAACTCTATATAACTGAGATTCTTCTCAAGTTGGATATAAAAACATTCTCAGTTTTTTATGGTTAAACCAGTTCTAGAACAGGAGAACAGTTTTAGTTTAAGTAAAAAAAGAAAAAAAACATGTTTAATTCCTTCAGGCATAGAGATGAGAGGTGAAAAGCTGTAAAGCAAGCAGAGGATCTTTGTTTTGAGACACATGCATGAGTCTTTCATTTGTTCATTAATTCTGATGGTTCTGGAAAGTCAGCCTTTTTAGGTATTCCCAGTCTTTTATCCAACACAGAATTTAGGTCCTCAGGACTGACAGAGGCTCTAGTTGAGTATAATACACCAACAGCAGTAGAGAGCAATCACTCATCTGAATAACTATGTGGCAAAGTGTCAGGATTTTTTTTTTTTATTATTTTCACCTTTAGTGTTGTCTTGTATTTAATGTATTTGAATAGCAATTGTTTGGAAGGTCAACCCATTCCCATTCTTTTCATACAGTATCTTCTGTATTACTACCAGCAGCAATTCTTAAGAGGTTTTTTCCATATTCTAGTTACAGCTCATATGATCCATAAATATGTAAACCTACATGCAGAACCGTAGGGAGGAGAATGCCTTATATCTGCAATGTGACTCCCTCATGAAAATAAGTTGACATTGTTCACAATAGGCCAGAAGTTACAAGAGTACCAAATGATAATATAAACCACTACAGAAATAATAAGTGCATTTTCTCAAACGGTTTAAAAGGTTGAATGAAAATGTAACATCTTAACAACTAAGAACTGTCATCTTCTTTGAAAAAGGTGGTTTCCATACCCTTATGCTACAAAAAATAATTTTAACAGTGCAAGCAAAATTAGTGGACTTGTTCCATAAGAATAAGCTAAGAAATTAATTAATTGTGGTGCTCTGTTTCTTATTTATGGCTAGATATTTACAAAACTTTAGGTTAGCACTATGTTTTTATTTAATCTCATAAACCTTCAAGGTTCAACATAATGGAACTGACACAGAAATTCCCCAAATATATGTGGGAAGAGGATTGGCTTTACAGTGTAACAATGTCTCTTCTAGTATTGTAGCACACATTTCCTTCTTAAGTAAGGATGACTTAGGAAAAGGGACAAAAGCAAAGAATGTTGATTACTGCTTAATTTAAGAAAAAGAGCAATTCATGAACAGGTGAACAGCCATTTTGACATCAGAGAGGGACTATAGCTGTGTGCCTCTTGGTAAAGAGGAGAATTAATTGTTCATTTGCAATAAAACTATTACATGACTTAAAATGGTGATTTAAATGAAATATGTTAGACATAGTCTAAATTTTTAGATTGAACTGGAAAAATTTTTGAAGAAACAGCTTTCTAGAATGCATATTTCTTCTAAGAACATTTTTAATCTTCTATTTATCTTAAGGACTTAGTAATGCATGGAAGGATGTACAGGTGTAACCTTTGAACAGTTCTTGGCTTTGTATCATTTGCTGATGAGAAGTAGAGGTTATACACAGTAAAATATAGCAAGATCTTTAAATGAGATGCTATATCCAGTCTTCTCTGAAAGAGTGAGGTGAGAGAAAAAGGATTTTATGTATTGTGATATGACAAGCAGCATTTCTTAGGAAGACTCATGCTATGCAAAGTCTGTGTAGCAAAATACAAGTTTCTGTCTTATCTGTAAAGTAATTGTATTTCAACAATGATGAAACTGCTTCCCTGCTTGGAGGACATTTTTCAAACATGTCCTGAATGTTGTATGTGCTTCTAAATATACAGTATGGCCCTGTGCATCTGTCACAATCACAATGGAGTGCACTAAAATCTTACCTGGTTTATGCACAGTTGACAGAGTTGAATGCAGTTACTGTGATGTCACAGTGCTTAAAACGAGTAGATTATTTGATCACTTAATCTCCGAGTGCTTACTGTCTGATAGCGAGCCTCTGACTTACTGGCTAATACAGATCTGTCTTGATGGTGTTTTACTTTGAAGACAATATAATTCTTCTTGATAATTAGTCCCACTGGTTGAATACAGTCATGCTTAAAACCATTTTACTTTTAATCTGAAACTTGCTGTATCTCTTCATTATGTCACCATTATAGTCCTTTATTGCCTTATTTTCTTGTCAGGAAGATATTTCATGCTAGTCATCTCAACTTGATTGTCTTTTGATAAGCTAAGTTGGCACAAAGATCCTTTTGGAAAGTGTTTAAATCTCTTGACATTCATCTTTCAGGTCCAGAAAGCTGCTACTTAGTGCTGTACTGCTTGTAAATCCCTAGCTTGTGTTAGCTCCTTTAACTGTAGTGCCTTGGGAGTTCAGGGGGAGGAAAAAAAAAAGAGTTCTTGTCATCCAAGATGCTGACTTGTATTTTAGTCCAATGTCCTGCATTCCCTGGGGTTTTTTTATGTGGAACTCTGTGGAAAAGCATCTTTTTTTTTTTTTTTTTCCTTCCCCTCTTCTTAATGGGACCAGTTAACCAACCAAGGAAGATTGTATTGTCTTACCACTTCAACCACTGACATCCAGCTATTTTGGTGATATTCATCAGTGGTCTTAAGCTCATGAGCAAAATATGGAGTAGAATCAAGTAGCATTAATACTAGTTTTGGCAGAATTCTGTTAAAAACAGATGCTTAATGTTAAAAACATTCTGCTTAATGATTTCCACTTCACGGCTTTAGATGCTGAAATTACTCAGAAGTCTTGACAGCCAAACTTGTCTTGTTGCAGTAAGTGTATTACATTGCACTTTTCTAACTGGAGCACATCGCATGAGGTAGTGATAGACAGAAGTCTATTACATATACGGGTGGTTATGTTCATTCATTTAACTTACCTCATCAAAGAAGTTTTGAATGATATGAAATATATTCCTCTTCTTTTTATTAGCAAAATCTTACTTATCCAAGTTTAGGTATCAGGCTAACCATCTGTAATTCCATAGGTACTCTATTTTAGAAAATCATCTTATCAATCTTATTTATCTTTCTAAGTTTGTTAACTAGTAACATGAGTGGTGCAGGAGCATTTTAAGATGGTTACAAAAGTAAATTTTCAGTTCTAATTAATGTTCTTTAATCTCACTAGTGGGGAAATTGGGCATTTCATTTTTATGCAATGCAAATACTTTTTTTTTTTCCCCCAGTATGGAAGAGAAAGTTATTCAGTAGTCTTTTTTTTTTTTTTTCTGTTTTGTAATGAAACATTTAAAAAACAATTACTAATACTACACATTCCATTTAAAACGAACAAAAAGCAGCCATGACTATGACTTCCTGTTATTGTCAGCTATATATTTTTCCCTAATGGTTTTTGTGCTTCATCACTGTAATCTTATAATCCACTTCCTTTTCACCGTGTTAATGCTGTTGTGTGCTGATGAGCTAGAAGAAAAGCTTGATCTTCACAGAATAGACAACTTGTCATTCCAGCCAAATAGAATCAATATGTAAAATCTGCAAATAAAATATTTCATGTTTTGATTAAACAGAATCTCTCACAATTATAATCTGCAGAAATACTCTTATCAGGTATAATCACGTTTAAGATACCACAGCAAGATTTTTACTTTGTTCTTACAATAGTTATAAATCCAAATATCACTCTTGAAAATGTATTTTTATTGAAGAGTATATAGCTGGGTAGTCTTAGGATGAGTCACCTTTTGCTTCTATAGCTGTCATGGAAACTGGCAAGATGGAAAAATTTCAAAAAATTGAGAAGTGTAGCAGTATTTTAAAATTCATATACATGATCTTTATCCTTCTAGAATAGTTTTTCTTAGTAAGAGCTTACCATTAATGAATATAGGACAGCCTTTGCAAACAGACAAACACTAGTGCACCTTACTGATCTTTAACGTCAGCAAAGGATCACTTCAAGTGTGTATGCATTTTCTAAAATTTAGCCTGATTTATTTTAGTGGGTCTTGTGTATTCACAGTAATTCTTACCTGCTGCAACACTCCTGTTGCAACAATGTTTTGGGAGAGCTGATGCACAATTCAAAAAACTTAAATTATTTTTTGCAATTATCTGGAAAAAGTGCATGTTCAAGTCCTAACAAATAGCCCTAAATGATATGGGGTTGTTCCCTCTTAAAAGTTAACTTGCAGCGGACTTTGTCTTGAAGCTGAATGCATGAGGATACAGGTCTAGTGCCTAGATGGACCTGTGGCTTATTTTCTCTTCCAGGAGGCTTTCTGTGCCTCCTATTGAAGAAGAAAAATGATAGTGATCTAAGCACTTGCTTCAGCATGAACTTCATTAGATATCATTAACTGTAGTGAAGTTACCTAATTCTTGGTTCTTTGTTTAAATGTCTGATACTTGGGTATAAAATGCCAAGCTTGACACTGCATGGGACCGCTGTAGGAGTACACATTGAGAATTCTACTCAATTAACTGATTTTATACTCTCAGCACTGCAATTCAGCAGTCAATTTTCTTTGGTTTTTTCCTTCTATTTTTACCTCTATTTTAAATAAGTTTTTGTTAAACACCAGCATATGACTTGTAAAGGTGGATTGGGGATTTTTGGTTTTGATAAAGCTTTCAGAATCACAGGCCATACTTTGAGTCACTGCAAACAGGATGTAGGAATGTAAATTTTAAAATAGAAAACTTCTCCAAAGTTGTTTTTTTTTTTAAAAAGGGAGGGGGAAAATTCACAATTACAGGCCTTGAAATATTACAGTCAATCTCTCTGGACAATGTGGAGAGATTTAAGAGCACAAATTACTTAACTGCAAAAGAAAAAACAAAAACAAAAACACAACTCTCCCCAGCTATATACTTTACCACAGCTCCATTGTTACTGCTATCACCATGTTTTTAGTAATGGGGAATTTTACTGGAAGTCATGTCAATTAATCTTAATCTGGAAAAAATGCTGCTTAGATTTAATTCTTCCCTGTATTCAGAAAAGGCTTAAAACATTGGGAAGAAATCACTGCTATGTGAAGTAGAGCTATGGTGGTGATGGGAACACACTGAAAAACATATTTCTCAATTTGAAAATAAATAAAATAAACCCTGCCTACTCAAAATTAAAAAACATGCAATCTTATTTCCAAGCAATCTCTGCAGTGTTAATATATGTATGTCATTAATTTTTTCCATATTTTTGTAACTTGGATTCCTAACAATTTTAAGAATATTAGTTTAAACTTGAGAATTTTTAATTTATTATTTTCTTGTTTGTTTAATTAAATTATGATGTAGAATTACTGTCTGCTACATAAAGGGCTGCTCTTCATAGTTCTTTGTCAACTAACACTAGCTGTTCCCAAGATCACCAAAAGTATAGTGTTTTCTGGTCATCTTTCATGTGTCCAAGCCTAAAGTAATCCATTACTGTACATGCATTTTTTTAATGTTTGTTAATCAGTTCTACTTGGAATAGTTTTGAAGGATCCATTTCAAACACTGCTCTAATTAAATGTAACCGTCTTTCTGATTGTTAAAATACACATCTGAAAATGAGAAAGCTGTGGGAATCATGGAGAGAGCAGAAATTTCAAGTCCTCATTAATGAAGGGCTGTTCCTTCTGCCTCTTACAGATGTAGTAAATAGCTTGACAAAAGCCCTCACCAAAGCTAATAATCCAGAATGATTATTAGAGAATGGAATGGGGAAAAATAAGCTTCTGATTGTGTATTCCATGGTGATTCTGAGCCTATAATACTTGTTACATCTGTTTAGTTTTATGGTATTTTCTATTACTTGTTACATCTGTTTAGTTTTATGGTATTTTCTATTAAATGATACCCTTCAGCATTGAATCCATCCAGTACTAAAACCAGACCCTTTTTAGTCAGTGATATCCAAATCTTTATATGCTGACAGCACTTCTTTTTCAAAAAACCTAGGAAACAATATCCAGATGGTCTCAGATCTTCAAGATGTGAAAATGAATTAAAAAGACAACTTTGGAATTATACACTAAGACTTAAGATACAGAAGAAAAGTGTTTTTGTGATATTAGTTAGGGGTCTAAAGGTTTATATCTATCTATTGTGCACTTCTACTAATAGGTTTCATTGTGGATTGCAAAGAGCATTTCTGTAGTGACAAGGTAGGAGTAGTGGGAAAACGGAAGACTCCAAGGTTCTGAGCATTCTTGGGATCCATGTTGTTCTCCAGTAGTCCTCTCTAATTCCAATGACGTGATGCCATTTTAAAATACAGTTTGGGGTTTTTATTTGCTATTTGTAATCATACTAGTACTGTGAAAAGTTCTCTCAAGACTTTTTATCTATAAGAATGACTTTCTGAACACAACTGTACAGGAGGTAATAAAATGTTTGGATGCTATCTAAACTGACAGACTTCAGTAGAACCAGAAATGTAAATAAATACAGTAGACCAGGTTAAGCTTTTCTCTTAATTAGACTGCTTGCTAATCCAAATGAACCATTTGCTGTGCTTCATTTTCATCTGGTTTTAGTAATTGTAGATAAATGTATTCATGTGCAAAATTCTGCTGCTTTGTGTGTAGTTTCTCAGTAATTAGCTACACAGTATACGTTTCCTATGTGATTACCCAAATCAGCATGCAAAGTATGCTATAGCACTTTGATTCTCATTCAGGATAAACAGAAACAATTACAGTAACTGCAATCATATGCTTTCCCAACACATTTTTATGCTATTGTTTTAAGGTGGTGTTTTGAAGGACTTGTAACACTTTTTTTTAAGAATCTTTAGAATTTGATTTGGAAAAGTTAAGTGTAGATACAGGGAAGTTGATGAACTTTACTGTATCCAGTTTTTGAGTTTCTTCTATTTTATTGATCTTTACCTATGCAGAGATTCTGCTCACCCTCCAACTGTTTATTTTTCTCCTTCCTGTCCTTCCTCTACTCCTTAAGTGCAAAATGCATATTATATACAATCTCCCCAGTGAGTTCTAATCAGTTTTTCTTCTCTATACAGTCCCTTCAGTCTGAGTATGTTCAGTACTAAAGCCTTGCTGCTTTGGTGAAACCTGTTGAGCTCTTAAATTGAAGACCTTCATGGAGAAGAAGAATTTAAGGAAGGAAGCTGCTCGCTCCGAGGAGGAATCTTCAATATATTAAAACCTTAACACCAAGAGAAAACTTGGCGGGCAGAAATTTGTTGTTAATGACTACTGCAGATGCACTGATAACGAATTTATGGAAATTATTACCCCATGTTATATACAGATTTAAATTTTTAATGTTGAGACAGCTTGAATATATTTCTAATGAGTTTCATTAAGACATTTATTAACTTGTGTACAGTGTTAAAATATGTATTAAGAGAATATTTTGGTAAACTATAAAAATTATGTAAAAATTAGAATATATTTTAATTTAGAGTTCACTTTGCTACAAAACTGTGTATTTTAAAGAATTTTTACATGCTTATCAAAGATATGAAAATTTTTTTTAAGAACAAGATGTTTTCTTGGTTTATGGGTCCATCTTCTTGCTTAAAGCCTAATGTAATTACTTTTTCACTAATTGGTCTTCTGGTAACTTAATGGGAAGTCTAACTAGTGAGAGACTAGTTATTACACTATCAACTGAAAGCACTTGATACATAGTCTGCTTTCCACTTTCAGCTGCTAATGTTCCATAAGGAAACACTAGGAAAAAAAAATTAAAGGGAAAATATTTGTTGAGATGTAATGTAACTTACATCTTCCACTGCAAAGATAGAGGTATCTGATGATTCAATTTTACAATTAACGCTTTCTTTCAATGTCTTAAAGGAATGTTTTAACTTTTTTCTTTTCAATGTAGAATGTTAAATTTTGCTATGTGATATATACTGCAGAAATGAAGGAAGACCAAAGAAGTTGGTAAGAATGTACATGTAGAATGAATTTGGCAGTGCTGCAAACTTACATGTTTTTAACCTACATTTGGGAGTTTGTGTACAGTTTCATTAGCAAAGCACATTGGAAGTATATTAAATTTTCATTTCTAAATTGGACAGTTCATAAACCTTTAATTTGAAAACTATTGTTAACGTACAGCTAACATAACCTCCTGTATTCCAGAATATATTTGTCAGTAAAGATGCTCTTTAACATAGTGATGAGGAATAAGACTTAGAATGAAGTGGTGTTACAGTGAATTAGTAGAGATCACATTCAGAACTCCACAAGTGCATAGTAAGCAAAAGAAGTATAAGCAGCAGTGAGGACTTGATTTGCCACTAATTTAGAAAACAAAACCAGATTTGTTACCTATGAGTTTTTCCATTATCTACAGAAACCTGAAAATAAAAACTTGATTGAATTGTCAGTCTTTATTCCTGATCTGTGAATGCCCCGCATTTGCTTTACAACTGAAGTTAAAATAAAGTACCGCATTAATTTTTAAAACGATAAGGTGACAAATTGCTATGGAAAGTTGTACTGAAAGTGTTAAGCAATACTGAGAACAGCTATATAAATCACTGAATAAAATCTACATGCAATACTGTACTTTTTTCACAATTGTGTATATGTAACATATACACACACAAAGTAGCATATGTGTGTGCATATATATATATACAATATACTGTATATGAATTATAGATTAATGGTAAGGTAATTCTACCTCTTATAAATAATTTTGTCATGTACTTTGTTATAAAGTTTTCCTTAAAATATTGTTTAATTTTGAAATGTAGATATATATATATACATACAGCTAATTGATAATAAAATGCCTTTATCAGCCAGCTTCCATGTTTCTTGGCTTTTCTTACTTAGATCTTTTGATGTAAACCACTACGATTAGATCTCTAATTAAAGAGTAGCTCTTCAAAGTCATCTTCTTTCTTTTAAAGGATGTAATATATGTATAAATAAGATGACATTGCAAAAAGACATTAGTATGATAGCTATCTTATAACTGATCTAACCTTGTATTTGCTTTGTATAACATCGAGTATTTAATCATCATGTTGATATTAAGATGTAAAAGTTGTATTTCAAAATACTGTAATTTAAAAGCTGTCTGAATTGGGGAAACTTTTTTTGTCCTGGACAAGTACCCCTATTAGAGGTGTAATATACCTTGGGTTTTTTGCATGTACAACAGGTTTCCTAGTCTCACTCTAACAGCAGAGTCTTTGTCCATAAGAACCTAAAAGATGATGCTTTTATTTAGCTTTTTATCCCTCAATTAAAAACGCATCACAAATGGTTCTAACATTGTTTAACTCTGCTGCTGATTTTCAGCAATTTTGTTGTGTTGCATGATTATTTATGCACAGAGCTTAATATTCCTGTCAGGTAAGTTTGTACTGCAATAGACGATGTGGACAGTATGTAACTGTTACGCAGCCACTCTAAAGGAATGGCAAAGCCAGGAATAGGACGGATGCTTTGGAAGTTGCCCAAATAAGAGGCTTCTGCCACTGCATTCAGATAACTAATGGATGGTGATTTGGATGTGTCGAGTAAATATAAAGGGAGAACAGCCAATTAAAAAGTTTCTGGTACACAGGAACCAACATCTCCCTTAGCCTTTTTCTAGACTTCTATTGATTTATTATATGAAATATGTAAATGCCAGCTAATGTGCAACATATTTTTTGTTCTTAAAAATGAATATTAAATATACTCAGTATTCTGTAACAATCCACTTCTTAACGTGAACAAATCTCGGGACAGTGACAGGTCAGGGAGGTCTTTAGAGCCCTTTTAATAAATACCCTGAAATTTGTTTCATATCTGGTGTTCACTTATCCTTGAACTTCAACATTTCTGTGGCTTCATATATAAATGTATCTTGTTATGGGAGAACAAGCTGTAGCACGTAAGATTTTAAAAAGAGGTTTGATAAACATGTAAGGATGGATTAAGTAAGTCTAGAGGTCTCTACTAGCCCTGTGAGTGTGCCTTATGAAACTGTTAATCATCTCTTTAAAATATGCTTTATGAAGCTTTTTGGTTAGGGAGGTATTTCTTGTTAGAGAGTTAGAGAATATTTTTCAATTACAGTACTGCAGAAAGAGGAGGATTTTAGTTTCTATAATAACTGTTCTCTACTGACAGCTAAACAATGAAAGGCCTCAAAAGGTTTGACACTTGATTAGATCTACACTGTAAAGTGCAGCAGGCAAAAAATATGATAATTAAGGGCCTGATCAAGTAAATCACTCAGGTATGTCTTTAACCTTAAGCACATGAGCAATCTAATTAATTAAAAAAGAACATCTTCGTGTTTGTAACAAATCCACATTTGGATCAATAGTCCTGTCAGTTGCAAACATAAGCCTTTTCGTCAAATAAAAATGTGCTATATTGCAACAAAATAATCCGTTAACCCACACAAATTACCTTGTTTTAAAGAATGTATATTGTAATAATTGCCTCCTGATAGATTATGTTGATATTGTCATTTGTTAGCATAGTGAGTTTAACAGTATATGAAAACACCTCATAAGGATACTTGTGGTCACTATACAGATCACACTTTATGAGATTACTACTTTAGCCTACATAAAACCAACCTGTAAAAGGCAGCTTTTCTCAAACTCACCACAAAATTAATCAGCACTCTTTTTTCTGAAAGCTTTTGAGAGGAAATGTAAGATCTTTTACTCAGTTTATTAAAACTCATCCAGGGTAAGAACAGTTAACATTTTGTCCCTATTTGAATAAAGCACTGTAGGGTTCCTGGGAGAATCCCACTACTAACTCTTCTCCATTTGGGAAGGGACTGTTAAGCCCTACTCTTCAACCAGCTTGTAGTGCACCTCAGAACCTGTCATTCACTTCTGCGGGAACTTGTCCTTTGCATTAATTTTGGTCTGAGACCGTTTCAAATGCTACACTGATTCTGTTTTATCTGTGGATTACTGACACCAGTGTTCACCTCCAGCAGGCTGGCAATGCAGGATTTCCTGTGGGGTGAGAAAGACTGAGTTTTATGATGAAATGTAGAATATTTAGATTGAGAACCAGCTTCCTCAAATAAGAAGTACCGTCTTACCAAGGATCTGTGTATCTATTGTGTTCAGAAGATTTAATTTGGAAAGTATATTGTTATTACAGACCAGTTCTAAAATTAACTTTAAGCTTGCAGAAGCATAGTGTGTTCTTAAGATCAGAAAAAAAATCAGTTTAAGTGAGTATCTAGCAGAAGAATTTCTACAGTAAATGGATTGTATTTCAGACAGAAGTGACTGATACTGGTTTGAAAGCTTGCTGCAAATGAAAGTTGTGTAAATGGGTTAGAACCAGGAAACTGGTAAGGCAGAGTCAGACTGTGTAGTTGCAGTATTTCTGGAGCATGATAGGGTTTGGGTTTTTTTTTTTTTCTTCTTGATTTAACAAGTTGAAAATCTGCTGAATAATTCATGAAGAGTGGAAGGGCTGAATCTTCCTGGAATGATATACAGTGTACGTACTGTGGCACAGGAGAAACTGCAAAGCTTTGTATCGGTTGCTGCCGTTTCTGCTGCTGATTGCAAGGTGCTGCTGCTTTTGGCATTTTCACAGCTACAGAATCTTCAGTCGTGCTCTGGTCTGCTAACAGCCATCTGCTCCCTATGGACCTACCTTCACTCACTACAATCTGTGGGATCTCTTGCCACCTACCTGCCTTGGACACTGCTAACTGCGTTTTCTGGACCTTGCAGCTTGCATGACTGAAACCTGCTTGGAGTCTCTCAGCTTGTGCTTGGTGGGGGACACCTCCTGCAGCGGGATCTGGCCCAGGCAAGGATGGGATTTACAAGGAGAAGTCAAAACTGAGCTGCATTCAGCGAGATGCCCAACGCCTCTTCCTGGAGTGCTACCTCGCCGCTGCTGCTGCTCTGGGAGGACTCCTCCGGGACCCGCATCTTCCTGTCGCTGCTCTATGCCGTCTTAGCCATCTCAGGGACCTTATCCAATGTGATGGTCATCTACTTGGTCTTCTCCTTCAAGAAGCTGCAGACAACCAGCAATGCCTTCATTGTGAACGGCTGCGCTGCAGACCTCAGCGTGTGCGCCCTGTGGATGCCCCAGGAGGCCGTGCTGGGGCTGCTGCCTCCCAACTCCTCCTCCCTTCGCTCGGCGGAGTACCGGCTGCTCCGAGGGGGGCTCCTCGGCCTCGGCCTCACCGTCTCCCTGGCCTCTCACCTGCTGGTGGCCTTCAACAGGTACGTGCTCATCACCAAGCTGCCCAGCGTGTACCAGGCCCTCTACCAGCGGAGGCACACGGGCTGCATGATCGGGCTCTCCTGGGCCCTCGCCCTGCTCCTGGTCCCGAGTGCTTATCAAACAGGAGGAAAGGCTCCTTTAAAAATCTTAGGTCTTGTGGAGAGTCAGTGGAGAGTTCTGGGCATTACTCTGTTGACCAGCAGTCAATAATTGTCTGAGGCCAAGGTAAACTGTGGAGTCCATAAATGAGCTAGTTTGCTTGTAGCCATCTGCACTGAAAATGTCTGAATTTGAAGTTACGCTTCCAGTCTAGAGACATCTTTGTGGATTTTGAATCTTGAGGGAAGCAAGATTATTTCAGATTTCACTTTAATTCTTAATGCCTGCTGCTGAGAGCACATAAAGTAAAACCAACTTATGTCTGAGAATATCAAGATGCCCGATTTCAAGAGAGCTTGTTATAGTATAGGACTTTATTATAGAACCTATATTCTCAGACTAGTCTTAGAGTTTAGGTAGCCTCAGCTGTCAAGATTATTTCTACTTGAAATGTAAAGCAGTTTCTTTAGGGATCTGTTATTGTCAGCAGGGGATGTGATAACTGAAGCCTTCAGATTTGATGTTGCATTTTGCAAGTGCCTTTTTATATTCTTGAGACTGTGAGTCCCTGCCTCCAGCATTAGAAAAATATGCATATAAGCAATCATTAGGAGGTGGCAAGGCAAGTATTTACCTACGCAAGTAATTGGCATCCTTTAAGTTATATGCATATTCCACAGTCTGCCATATATCATCTCTACCTCGGATTCCCTTCTTC